GAAAATGCTATAGTTCATCTGTCATTACGGCACTTCAAGCAAAATGTCCACAGGAAGAGAGTTGAAACCTAGCATAGCAGAAGAAATGAGTAAACCAAAGAACAAGATGACAAGAGAGACCAAGATAGAGGTCAATAATCAGCTAAGCACACCTCTGGTTACTTAATTTCCGACATGCCAGCACACACATGATTTTCTGCCTCAATAAGAAGCAGACGTGTGATGAAAATACAGGATATCATTCTCTAATCTAACAGAAGGTTTGTCACAGGCCCCTTGGCTCCATCAGGATCTGGCACGGCTAGGCAACCCAGACAGAAGAGGAGGAGGAAGAAGAAGATGGGCTTAAAGGCTGGTACCTAGGGATGGTGGCTCTCCCCTTGTAACTCAAGATACTGGAGAGAGGAGAAGCAGATCTCCCGGCCCACCCCAGTGCCCCTCCTGCGGAGTGCAGGGCCTCACTGGGGAGGGAGGACTTCAACCAGCCAGTGGGAGGGGCTGAGCAGGAGAAGATAGTGGTGATGGAGGTGGAGTCAAAGGGGCAAGACACAGTGTTGTCACCAAGAACCAGGTGCCAACTTTGCAGGTGGGAACAGATGCACCAGCTCAGATAGAACACACATTTGCAAATATGGCTGTCTCATACGGCCCATCAGTTTTGCGAGTGATTGAGCTCACCCTGCATCGTCTTTAAAAGCTTGGGGGGAGGGTGCTGACAAGTGTTGGGACATCTTTGTTGCTCCTGTTCAGTTCTGCATCTCTTGCCTTGCTCGTATACATTGGAATCATGACTTTCAGATCCTGTGCTTGCTGCTATCTCTGTACCGTTTATAGCCAGAATAAAAATATCTTCCTTACTCCCAAGTAAGAGCCAGTGCCGTTGTGTTTGGGGATGGGAGCATGACAAGGCTAAAGAAATGAGCAGTTGTACAGAAGGTCAGAGTGTACGTCTTGTGATGAAAAGATGCCCATTTGAAGATAGTAAGTTCTCCTGTGGGAGGTCAGCCTCGTGCTTTAATTAAATAGAGGGAGGGCATCGTTGTTGCTGGATGAGAATATAATAAAGAAAGGCTAGGTAATGTATGGAAGTGAGAGCTGGACCATAAAGAAGGCTGATCGCCGAAGAATTGATGCTTTTGAATTATGGTGCTGGAGGAGACTCTTGAGAGTCCCATGGACTGCAAGAAGATCAAACGCATCCATTCTTAAGGAAATCAGACCTGAGTGCTCACTGGAAGGACAGATCGTGAAGTTGAGGCTCCAGTATTTTGGCCACCTCATGAGAAGAGAAGACTCCCTGGAGAAGACACTGATGCTGGGAAAGATGGAGGGCACAAGGAGAAGGGGACGGCAGAGGACGAGATGGTTGGACAGTGTTCTCGAAGCTACCAGCATGAGTTTGACCAAACTGCGGGAGGCAGTGGAAGACAGGGGTGCCTGGCGTGCTCTGGTCCATGGGGTCACAAAGAGTCGGACACGACTAAACGACTAAACAACAAGGTTTTTTCCGGGTCCCAGAAAAAGAACAACTCTCTCAATGTTCCCCTCTTCCTTCACATGCAGTGGAGCTTTCGAAGCCCGTGCCAGAAATTTGGAGAGAATGAAAATGATAAAATCAACAGAGAGAGAAAGAAATATATTCAATTGGCCCACAGCAGATTTTTTCCAGGAACACAGGTAAAACATCCAAGGGTAATGAATATTTACTGGGCTGATCAGAAGAACATCTGCCTGTCCTTGTACAGTTAAGATTGGATTTTGCTGCCGTCATATATATATTTTTAAGAAAGGTAGGGCCACTGACTCACATTTTAATGCTTAACGCAATGATACGCTCATGGCTTTTATAAATATAAATGCAGTCAAATGCAGCAGCATTTTATTGTACTTTTTACAAAGCAGATGGCAAATATCAAAGGCCAAACTGTAGCCTTTGGGCATACTTCAAGGGGCCCAGAGAAATATTTGGCTTGCTAGAGATTCTCCGTCTGCATCTGAAAAGGCTCCTCTATATATAATGATTTAGTAATGTGCACTCGCACAATAGTATACAACACACAGCTTTTTCAAACATTTCCAGGTCGTTGATTTACACTGCCCCCCTTACACACCGAACCTTTCTAATTCAATTAAAACCTCAGCCCGGCCAATCAATACAAATGCAGCCTGCCTTTCTTTAATGCATACAGAGCAGAGGCCACAGCTACAGGCAAAGCGAGGCCCAGGAGGCAAATTCTGCAACCTATAAGCCTAGTTTCCATTCCAAACTAACACTGCCATAAACACTCATAGCTCCCTGCCCCCCAGATTGGACACAGTCCAGATTTCAATACAATCCAGGGAGTGCTTCACACATGGCTTTTTTTCTTCCCCAATAGAAAGATAATATCAGCGTAGAAAAAAACCCCAGAAGCACAGCATCCCTTGAGAACTGAGGCCAAAGTATTGTATTTTTCCACAAACGTGTGGGTCCGAAAGTGTGGGCCCTTCTAGGCACAGGCTTTATTTCCAAATGAGACACTGAGATATCGGTAACTGGTTGCTGGCAACAAGGTTTTGTTTATTACTTAGCAGTAAATCCGGATAAAAGAGTGGGGTGGGTGGGAATACTGGCTGGCATTTCAATGCCAGCGAAGTCCTGTGGATACTGCAAAAGACTTGCATGCCATAAGGAGTTGTCAATCCCACATTAAACACCCTTCTTGGAGCACTCTAACCCTATACAGTGGGGGGGGTGGATCTGTGTACACACCATACATATAAAGTGTACCCCCCCCATACAAGAGTCATGGAAAATGAAGTTTCTAAAGGGCACTAGGAGGTGTGAACTACGGCTCCCAGGCAGAAACCAATATGTTTAAAATGCATGGTATGTACACAGCTTGACAGAATGGCCAATTGTCACATTCATACCACATCTGATATTAAACTAGGGTTGGATCAATCTGTCTACTTCCCATCGGGTAACATCTGATGTTTTTACCCACAGTTCTGTTCCATTTTCACATTTTTTTTAAAAAAAACAAACCTCTCAACATATGAATTTGAATGTGTATTTACATGGGTATGTATTCCCTTTCAAATTAATATTTAAATTTGTATCTTGGTCACTTAAAATATTAGGAACTGTGTAATAAGGTTTAGAGAAGCACAAAATGTGGTGGATACCATATTTTTTGTGTATTAGACAAGGTAGACAAGGGTTTTTCCTTTAAAAATTATGTTAAAAAATGGGGGGGGGGTCGTCTTACACATGGTCATTGCATATTGGTGATGTGGGATTGATTGCTTCCACTAGCCTTGCGCGTGTTATTGGTGGCTATTGGGCGGGTGATTGGTGGCTTCTGCCGGCAAGGGAACAGCTTTTGTGGTGTGCTGGTCCACCCCCACCCCCCATTTTCAACAACTCTGGGCAATCTCCCCCCATTTTCTTAAGTTGGAGCCTCCCAGAATAGGGTGTGTCTTATACACTGGGGCGTGCTATACACGGAAAAATACAGTAAGTGCTGGTGGATTAGCCTGAGATATGTGGGTCAGGGTAGTATTTGCCTACGCTTTACTCAGAGTACACCAGCCCAAACTAAGGCACATGACTAGGGGCTCATGCCCACTTCTACTTGTCCTGCTACTTTTCTCCAGGAAAATCCACTGTTTACCACTGAATCAAACAGGTTTTCTCTGTATTGACATTTTCTGGGGGAAAGCACGGCAAACGCCAAACCGCTCGAAGTCATACCTAGAAAGCACAGAACAAGCTTTCAAGGCATGGGACAAGTGGAAGTGTGGACAAGCCCCAGGTTAGGTCCATTAATTTCAATAGATCTACTTTGAGTAAAATTCAGGTGCATACCACTCCCAGGTGTATCCAGGGCTTTTTTTTCAGCCAGAACTCACCGGAACTCAGTTCCGGCAACTCTCAGGTGGACACCATTCCCATTATAAGAAGAAGAGGAAGAAGAGTTTCGATTTGATATCCCGCTTTATCACTACCCAAAGGAGTCTCAAAGCGGCTAACATTCTCCTTTCCCTTCCTCCCCCACAACAAACACTCTGTGAGGTAAGTGGGGCTGAGAGACTTCAGAGAAGTGTGACTAGCCCAAGGTCACCCAGCAGCTGCATGTGGAGGAGTGGGGAAGCGAACCCGGTTCACCAGATTACGAATCTACCATTCTTAACCACTACACCACACTGGCTCTCAACAAGGGAAGTGTTCACTGTGAGTTCTGGCATCTCTCTTTCTAGAAATATAGCATTGGGTGTATCAGAACAAAGAAAGATCAATGTTCTCACGCGTGCCTGTTCAAAGGGTCTGCAACAACTTGACTTGAATCTACTTCAGTAGCAGCATGCCCATAAAGGTTTGAGCCTAGGAATGCTGAAAGCTGGAGTTTGCCTGAAGTAATTAAGAGGGCTCAGTGTGCGTGTGTGCCCCCTGCCCATCTCAGAGTCAATGTATACCAGCTGCCCTATGATAAGGCAGGCAAGGTCTGAGCCAATTGCTCTGTTTCCTCACTGCCCCTCTTCCCAGGCCACAGCCAACTTTACATTTTGTATCATTTATAGCAGGCATGTCCAACTCCCGAGAAACTGCGATCTACTCCCACTATAAAAAAACTGGAAGTGATCTACCCATTGGATTGACCAAAATTGTTGAACTTTTTGGGGGAGAATTGATCAGAGTTGTTGAGCTTTCTGCGTGGAGCAAGACCCAAAGTTGTTGGCTTATGGGTGATCGCTCAGGATCACGTGATTCACCAGAATCAACCAGGAACGCCCTGTGATCAACCAGTAGATCTCAAGTGATCACATGATTGACCAGAATCAACCAGGAACGCCCCGTGATCAACCAGTAGATCGCAATTGACCTGTTGGACTGCCCTGATTTATAGGGTGGGTTTTTTAATTGGTTATTGGGGTTTTTAGAATTGTAAACAACTTTGGATGCCTTGTCAGAAATCATTGCAAAAACACAACTGGCGGCTGGTGCGGGTGACACTTACCACAAGCTCAGAGAACCTTGCATTGAGCTCCTCTGCTGGTGGGATTGGCACAGAGAACTCCAAGAATTGCAGAGGGGTGTTGTCCTTGAGGTTGATCTCAGGCAAGTCGCTGCCCCCAAAGCAGCAAAGGAACCCCAAGGCATGACGATTCCTTTTTCGGGGAGCCATGGTCATCGTGATGTGAGGTGCTATCTAACAATCATGATCTGCGGAGAAAGCAAGAATAGAAATATAACCAAGAACCCCAAACCTTCTTAGCTTCTTCTGTGATAATTAATAAGCAAGCTTTTGAAAAGAAATGGGGATGACGTCGAGGCAGACTGAATGCCAAATGGCTGAGTTTCTTTATTGCATTCCATAGCTGTCAAGTGTCCCTTATTTGAAAGGACAGTCCCTTATTCCAGCGCCATGTCCCGCTGCTGTCCCTTATTGATGGATGTCCCTTAAATGATGTCCCTTAAATTTCAAAGGAAGCAGCTCCTCTCCCTCCCTCCCTACTGGCCAGGGAGGAGGGAGGCTCCAACTGTGTTGCTTGGCTGTGTTGCTCACCCAATAAGAAGCCTAAGAACGACTGGGGGGGGTGAAGCTTGCATACCTTGTGTGTGGCTAGTTAATGCAAGCTGAGGGGTTTTTTGAATGCTGGGCACCATTTTGTTGCATGTGCTGCTGCAAAATTTGCAGTGCAAAGCCAGGCGGGGGAGCCATCTTAAGTTGAGGCTGCATAGGCCTTGTGGTGCATGTGATTCAGATTCTATTCAGTTGAACCTCTGGTTACAAAGTTGGTTGGACAGTGTTCTCGAAGCTACCAGCATGAGTTTGACCAGACTGCAGGAGGACAGGAAGACTGGAGTGCCTGGAACAGGTGAGGCTGCAGGTCCCTTATTTTGGCTGCTGGTCCCTTATTTGCAAGACTGCTGGTCCCTTATTTTCAAATCTGTAAATTGACAGCTATGTTGCATTCCCCCCCCCCCCACTACTTTGTGTAAACATATTTGGAAGTATAAATACCTCAAAACTCTATTCTTAAATAAAAATGAAAATACAGAGAGAAAAATATATTATATAAAGACAATTGCAAAATAGTAAATGTAGAGATAAGGGTCAAAATGAGATTGACAAGAGTCCTTCACATAGCTATTAGCCTTTTTTCCACTAACTTTTATCCTAGGAGAAATTTCCCCTTCTTTACATACAAAAACTGAGCAAAAATCAAGAATAGGGTGCTAAATGCTTATGCACACACCTCCAAATTAAATATTTTCCACAACCTGAAGGTTTCTCACATTGATCTGGGAGTATGATAGATTAAATATGTCAGAATGAATTATATGGATGAGTGTTTTCTTCAATTTTTCCATTCCAGAAATTAATTAAAAGGGGCCATCTTTCAATAAATCGATCTTCTAGTTAATGAGCATAATCTCTTCTTCAATAAATTGTTTTAGTAAAACAAGCGAACCAAAAAACAAAAAAGCGGATTCCCATACTTTACCTGTAAGAATGGCAGGACACTACAAAGCTCTTAGAATGACTGGGCAATCTTGTTGGTTTTAAAGACATTTTGCAATCATAAGAGGTTTTAAACTAAATCCCAGCTGGAGGAAATGGAAACACTACATACACCAAAGGCCCACCACATATAGGTAAGTCTTAAATACAAGAACTTGGGTCCTACAGGAGAGCCTAGCAAACTCCAAACTAAAACAGCAGATAGACACTGGAGCAGAATATCAAAGGATTTCAATGTCTCATTCACCAGGAGCCAGAGACCATTTTCAACCCATGGGCAAATTTCTGTTGTGGGGTGTCACATGCCTGTGATGGACGAGGCCAGAGGCAAAAGTGGAAGGAGCAATGGTTGTGATTTTTGTACATCAAAATTATTTAAATTCCACCCATGCAAAAGCCAGAGGTTTCTAGACAGGCAACTCTCCATTTTCCATCTAGGCAAGCAAGGAGCATTTGGACCAGGGTGCCAACTTAAATAGAATAAGGTGGGGGGGCAGGTAATCAATCACAAAATATGGCACATGAACACCATTTGAAAGACAATGCCTATCAACTTTGGGGAACACTCCCTCAAATATTTTACTTAGGGGGCCAAAGGGACCTCAGCCCCTAGGAGTTGGCTCCTATGATTTGGACACATTCCAACCAGGCAAAAGCGCTTGTGGAAGGTGTAGAGCAGGGCCAATGAGGGAAAGGAGGAATGAAGGTAGCCTAGAGAGAGTTTCAAGGGACAAACTGAGAAGTCTGGATGGCTGGGTTTGGCCCCTGGGCCCAAGGTTCCCTACCATTGCTATATACTTAGTACTGCGGGGTGAAGGTTTCCTAATAGGGGGGTATCATGGGCTTCTGGGAGTAGAGCAAAATTCTAAAACCTTTTGGGTGAGGGTGTTTATTTCCCCCTTCTTTCCAAACAGTGGATAAGCACACCTGGCTCTTTCAGCTGCTGCTGAAGTGTGTTTTGAAAGGCAGAAATAGCCATGGGTCTAGTGGGACAGCACATAACACATTGCTGCCACTTGGAGCAGCATGGACCAGGTTTGTTTGTTTTTTATTAAAAACAAAAAAAGACAGGAGGAGGAAATCAATCCCTAACCACAGTGTGTTAGTCCTATGAAATGTTCCCCAATCTTTCCAAGCATTTCCCCTTCCCCAGGCCCCTTACCCCAGAAGCCCCCAAAATATGGCCAGTCCAAAAGTCCCATCCAGTCCTAACAATAATGCAAGGAGAATGTGGAATAAACCTGTTGAGCTTGAACTCCAATTACAGAAAAGTTAGTACGACTTCTTAAGATTTAACCGATACGTGGTGGGGCAACTCCCTGGATGGCTATGTAACAGCTGAAGGATAACAGCTCATTGGGAAATGATGTTTTTAACTAATGTTATTCCCTTTCTGTTGTGTATGTTTTTGTCTAAAAACAGGTACAGAAATTGAAGAGGGCAACCAAGGTAGTCCTGAAGAGATAACCTGGTTAAAAACAAATGGAAATACATTGCTGAATCCCAGCTCTAAACTGTGGCTAATCTCAACACCCCCTCCTAGCTGATGCTGTCAGAGTCAGACTACTGGTGCATATAGCTCAGGACTGTCTCCCCTAATTGGCAGTGGCTTTTGAGGTTTCTGGCAAGGGACAGTCCCACTGCTACCTAGGGGATTGAACTTGAGACCTTCTACATGCAAAGCAGATTCTCTACCACTGAACCACAGCCCTTCTCCATCTTCATTACATCGGAATGAGGCTTATGCATTTGACAGTTGTCCTTAATATTCCTGGTCATGCTGGACATCTGTAACCACTCACTAGTGTCAATGGGTAGATTCCAACACTCGGCTCAGACAAAGATTTCATATCACAACACAATATGATCTTGCAAAAATCACTCAGCTATTGTATACTGACAATAGCTAACTTACATATTCGCTGCAAAAAAAAAAGCACAGCTACGATAAAGATTATATAACACACTTATGCACATTCAGAATCAAGTGCGGTGTTGATTCAATTCCAATTCCTTCTTGGAACTGTTTTTGAGGTGGTATATATGTGTGTGTGTGTGTGTGTGTGTGTGTGAGAGAGAGAGAGAGAGAGAGAGAATGAATAAGTATCGCAGCTGAAAAAAAGTAATTGTCCTAGATCTTTCAGAAGAGATCTTTAAGTGAAATATGGTGATCAAATGCATTTCATACTTATTAAAAGTGCTCCCAAGGTGGAAAAAGTTAAGATGGAGCAGGCGATTAAAGCATCGTATTAATATTAAACCAGTAGAAGTAGAAAGTCACAGGCGTTTCATTTATTCATTTAAAAGCATGTAACTAATATATTAGCCAAGATACCCACTACATTAGACTTGGGCAATTCAATCTTGTGCAGGCTTACTCACACAAATGGCACACACTCTTTGGTGAGGATGCAATTTTATACACACCTCATGGAAGCCTCGTGGAATTAAATGCAGTTAACTTCTGCGTAAGCATTATCTAAGATGACCCCGCACATTGATTTTGAACTCTACTATGTGGACACAACCCCTTTATCCACCATGTTGCAGTCACCATCAATCACAGTGGTAAATGAGAATACTTTCCCTACCCTCCCATGCATTCCAGTGCTTGTGGTTGAAAATCTTGTGGCCTCCACACTTCTATAAAACTTGCAACACACCTCAGTTCATGCTGTTCTGGGGGACATGCATCATACTGCACTTCCCACTTCATCATGCAGACTGACCATGCTGTCATCACAGCCCACAACAGGTAATCCTGGGCCTCTAACTGCAACCTCAGAGACACAGGACACCAAGCAAGGTTCTCCTCAAGCTGCATTTGAGCAGATGGCCTCCAAGCAAAAGGAGTTTCTTCAGCACTGCTGAATGCACACAAAAATTTAAGAGGCCATTAAGCAAGCCAAAGAGACGGCCCTTGAAGGCTGGACGGAGACCTTCATCACTTCAAACACATGGTTTCTGATTTACATTTTAGAGGAAAGTCTATGCATGAAAGAACCTGGTCATGAAGTTTGGGTTGCTGTCAGAGGCGAGGAGGGGCAAAGAGAAGGAAGTCCTTGGATCTCAGCATACAATGTCAACTGTGAGTTGTACATCCAAACAGGAAGTCTCCTGCCAGGAGTTTGAAAGGAAGGATCTGTGCAGTCCACACAAAGCTGCATATTTTTCCCTTTTAAGGGCCTTGTTGTTTGACAGCTTGGAGGCTTGTGTTATTTCCTCCACCACCAAAGAGCTCTATCCTTTTCACTTAATCTGCAGAATAAACCATTATTTTGAGAGTAAATAATTAAAAGTGCTCTTTCAAGAGTCTGGCTCCTCTGGGCGCGAGGGAGGAAAGGCGGGAGATGGCAGGTGAGCAGAGTCACTCACAGCAACAGCAACACAGCTGAGTTTTGTCGGGCAGAGTGCCGCTATTGGTTCACCCTAACCTGCCCTGGGACACACTGTCTTATTTATTTGCCTGAACAAGGCTGCCTTGTCCTCCTGCAGAGGCCAAGCACACGGGCTGAAAAATTAACTTCGCAGTGGTAGCAGCAAAACTAACATACCATGTCCTCATTTGTCTCAACTCCTCAGGACCCTTCACTACATAACTCAAGACTGAATGTGTTTTGTGCTTCCTTTACTCCTCCATGATGATCTGCCAATCCATTTAGCAGATGGCAGGAAAGCAGCCCAAACTAAAGGGAGC